GGACTCATTTCACTGCTTCCTAATTTTTTTCTCAATCTGATAAAGAGCTTCCACTATTTTTACAGGACACAGGAGGTTGTCATTCTGGGCCACAACAGAAGTGCCCCATCAGTCCCCATGGAAAAGCTGTTGGTGCTCCCAGCAGTGCCCTGCCAACAATCCAGAGGAGCCACACACCCACACCATGTTCTTCACCTGCCATTATTCTCCTGTTAGTGCCTTCTCCAGGAGCCCAGGCCAGGAACTTACACTTCCCATTTTCCCTCAGATGAAGCTCCTCTGCACCTTCTCCCACTTCCAGGGTTCCTGTTTGTTTGTAAGAGCTGCTCAGGCAAAAATGCTTCCCGTGGAAGATGCCGTGATCAGCCTTGTACCTTGGCCTATCTCTGCAGCTCTTGGGGCATGTTTACTTTTGTTAGATGACCAGATAACTCAGAATTACAGAAAACACGTAGGGTTTTTTCTCTGAAAAAAGAGAGTAAAGAACTCTCAAAGGCTGGGATCTCATATGCTTTTACAGTTAACAAAGAGTTCTTGGGGAGGGAAAAGCTACAAGAAGTCAGGTCTTCCTCACCTATCCACAAATCCTAGGTCTCAAAATTAAATCACAAAACTTTTCTAATGAACTATATTCTTTGTTATTTCCAATATTTATATAAGTTCTTTCAAGAACAACAACATGCTGTGTATTTAATAGTGTTCTTTTTAATTAATTTTTCTTATAAACAACCCTATAGAACCAGTTTGCCTTCAGCTCAGCTGCTGCAGCCACTGTACACATTATTACCACCACACTCAACCAGATAAGTCTCATCTTCTAAGGTTCTGACACCTTTGCCACTCAAAGCACAAGGTAATATGAACAAATGAGATCATAAAAAATGGTCCTGACATATAACTAGTTAATTCACACATTATGTTCTGATAGCTGAAATTGCCTTCCCAGTTTTATGAAGAGATTTTAGGACTGGAAAAGAGAAATTGGGTGGTTCAGTTCCCTCTTCTCTGATCCCATTACTCAGCAGGCAGAGCTGTCGCTAGGAAAGCTTAAACCATAAATATATTTCCTGTATTAGCCATACTCTACTGGACATTTCACATATGGCTCAAAAGATGCACTTTTAAATTTGCCAATTATCTTTGATGAGCATGTCACCCAAAATGATTGTGTACATTCAGTGCAGTTTTCCTAAGGATTTTCTTGTCTTTAATACATTAGAAGGCTGCTGCTTATAGCTGATGATGCCGCTTTTGGCAAAATGGAGCCACCACCACCAAAAGCAGAGCACAAAAGACAAGATGACCTTTCTGCTGTACATGTAGCAACTAAAGTGAAAGAAATGAAATAGAAAATCAGACCAGGGAAGGATCCTGTTGTTACTGCAACCATGGAGAAACTTTACATAGGAAAACTCGACCTGGTTTGTCTTCAAACACAGGCCCAGCCAAACAGATCAAATCCTCAGCATTTTGCATTTCCTGCACTGAGCTACCCAAACCCCTTTGTCTGGGGCTGCAAGGATGATGACTCTGCAGATTCATCACTGGGAAAAACACCCCATCCTCAGGGTTTGCATTCACTGTTTCTGTTCCATACACAGAGTTAATTTGGATTTCATCAGCCAGCCCCAGCTCACGCACTGCCTCACACCTGAGCTACCTTGAAGAGCGGTGAACAAAACAAGAAAAATCTGTCTTTACCAACTAAAATCCATTTTTTCCAATTTCAGATGGAGGCTTCCAGCCTCATAGGAGTAATGGGACACAACCACTGACATTATAATTCAATAAAAGGAAAAGAAATCATATCTGTCAGTCCATCTTTGCATCACAGGGCCTCTTTCTTGTTCCTCCTAGCTGACCTCTGCAACAAAGCTGTCAGCTTGGAAGAGCTTAATATCTTGAGAAGATAACCCCCTTAAATTTCTTCCCTGGCTCACTGACATTCTGTCAACTAGGAGAAAACCTGGCCCAAATTTAGGATCGCTGGGATTTCTTTCAGCTTGCTGAGCAGCATGCCAATGCTGAGTGCATCTGCCCAGGGTAAACTCCCAAAGAGAGCCTGATCCCAAAAACTGTCAGGAGTCCAAGAACTTCACTAATGCCTTTTAGCAGCATGCTGCCTAGAAATTGGGAGACATTTTTGGGCAGAGAAGGTTTAATTCTCTTTGGTCATTTAAACGTAAATTACGCCGTACTAGATCACGCCAATGCCAGCCCAGCTGCACCTCTCTGCCTCCAAACTTCATTGGCACACCCAGAGGAACAGGAATTTCATTGTCCTTCCCCAAGAGGAAGAGATGTTTGCAGTCCTCCTGGATCAAAATGGACAGCTCCATCTCAGATAGGGATCCAATTCCAACCTGCCAGGGCTGAGCATCACCAACACTTCTAAGCACTGGATGGGAAGTGAGATGTAAACTAAGGAACCTGACAATCTCCAAGGCTTTGCTTGGGCTCTTCTGGAGTATTTGCTGTTAAATTATAGAAGTGTATTTGTATGTCAGATCACGACCTAGAAACCAGGTGCTAAAAATCTGCCTTTGAAAGAGACAGAAGCAGCATTTCCTTCTTGTACAGGGATGGAAGATCCTGTCCCATGGGCAGTGCATACATTCCAGCACTGTTCTGCACTATCATGATGGGAAACAGCTTCTGAGGAAGAACCTTCATCATTCTCATACTGGTGTATGAGAGCACTATATGAATTAAGACATAAAAGATGTTGCTACTGCTAATTGTAACTAATGTGTGAGAAGCTCAGATTTTGGTTAATTAACATTTGGGCAGTCAATTTAGCTACAATTCAAGCTGAAGCTTTGCTTTTCATGTTCTGATATTGCTGGCCTTCTTCAAGGCTTTGCCATCAAAATCATTCACAGTCTTAGAACCAGAATCAGAATTTAGTTATCTAAAGCCTATTTAACCAAATTTTCCCACAAACATTTTCCAGTAAAATACAGCTTTTAGCTCTTTTTTTTTCCCCTGTCTCAGATAAGCAATTTTCAATCACCTTTTACATGGCTGGAATTTCAAGCACTCAGTGGGTTATAAAGAATCAGGAATAAAAAAACTCCAGGGAAGAGACCAACAATCAACTCAAGACATTATTTATTAAAGCATATCAAGTGAGGAGATATAATTTGCAAGTTCAGATGTAACAGTTGACATCTGCCCTTCGGTGTGTTAACAGTAAGGTACAAAATCCCCATCAGCCACCCCAGTACTGGCACTCGGCAATTAGCATGCTTTTAAAATGCATCTAAATCTAAAATCTGATCAGATTTATTACAGGAGTAAAAGAACTTCAATTTCATCTCCCTGCTGTTGGTGCTATGAAATATCACCTGTCTTTGCTGTGCACAGACAACAATAGGAAGGATTTTGGAGGGGAAGTTAGCAGAGGCTGCTGGATATGCACTTTATTATCTTAAAATTTAATGGATTTCTGACAAGGTGCATGGAAATAACATACATTTTGTGTATCTAAGAGCAGCTGAGAAACACAATGGCCAGGCTCTGGCATTGGGCCTTGCACGCAGATGCAAATTGTGTGATTGTAGATTATTACATCTCTATCAAGGAATGTAGCATTAGAAACTTAAGCAAAGGAGTTGGATGAAGCAGAGACAACAATGATTAATGTATGAACAGTGTCCACTCAACCATTGAGGCAGTAATAAAGGTATTAATTTGACTGCAAACATTAAAATGTGTACAGTAAGATGGATTTTTGAACAGTGCAGTGTGGCATAACCTTAATACAGTACATTAAAATCATTCATTACAATGAATAAATAGCTTAATGAGATTTGAAACATCCAGCACTCTCTGTGTAAGCAGGTGATGAAGTGAGGCCTGATATCAGCACCACTGAACATAAATTATGCAAAAGTAATACTTTTAATGTCATTTATTCACTGGCATCATTGCTTTTGTTAAATATTCCAGTGTACATCCTTCTGGGACAATATCAAATTAGTCTGTCCTGGAGTTTACAACTAATTCCCCTGCAACAGCCTGATTTGCATAAAAGTAAACAAAATAAAAATGTGCACATGAAGTGTGATTTCCTTCCCTTGGTTCATTTGTGTAAAGAAGAGAATTCATCTTACCAGAGCTAGAACATCTCTTTGTTTGTTTTTTTGTTACTGGTGGTGTATTACTCCCTCAGAGTCAGTTGCCACATTAAACATGGTATTCCATGTTAAACTGCAGGGGTATAAGATGAACTGCTGGAGCACTTTTTTCCCCCCTATTAATTTAAACAACTTATTAACAAATCAAGGCATTTTATTTAAATTACGCGCCTAACCATGTAATTAGTTAAGTAAAACCACTTAAAGCACATTTTTCTTCCTCATTTTCAACTGTGATGTTGGAGCTGTTCTATGCTAAAGCATAAAGAAAAGCAATTACTCCAACAATGATTTTTTTAAAAGGCTGGTACACAGGTTCTGTGCAGCACAGACAAGGCTGTGGGTTTTGTTTAATGATCACTTATTTCTTTACTGTGTACAGACACAGCTCACAGTTTTGGATTAACTTCAATAAATATAAAAATCTTTATTCTAACTGTTCCAAAGCACTTGTTATTTACATTTGGAAGTACAGGATTACTCATGCATGGCTGTCTGTCAATTAATCCAATATCACCCTGTGGATTTCCCCCATTTGTAATTGGAAAAATAGAGCTTTCCTGGTTCTCTGCAGAAACAACAGCCATTTAACTACAGGTGGTTCTCAGAGTGCCAGTGCACACACATCTTCAATGTTTATATAGAAAATAAAACCCCTATTTCCTCCAGAGATAGTAAAGCATTTTGGGGGGTTATTTTCCTGTCTCTAGCATTAAAGTGGGGTTTTATCAATGACAGAAGGCAGAATAGCAGCAATGGGTGAAGGAGATTGATAATCTTCCTAGCATGGTGTGGTTTAACCCCAGCCACAGCTCAGACTCCCCAGTGGGATGGGGGAGAGAATCCAAGGAGTAACAGAGAGGAAATTTGTGGGTTGAGATAAAAACCCCTCTCAGTGGTGCCTGTGAGTCGCTGATCCCCTCTGCTGACTGCCCACGAGTTCCAGAAGCAGAGGGAAAGTGACCCAGAGCAGAGCACTCAGCCAGGTCACCCCACGGGATGTGCTGGCAGTCACACAGCCAGGCTGCATGGAATCACATGGAAGAGCTGATGGATTACTGTCAACACTGGCTCCCAGAACTCCTACATATTCAATGCAAAAGAGAAGGAATAAAGATTAACCAAGTGTATATTCCCTACGGTGTCCCAGAGAACTTGGGCTTTTACCAAGTTACCAAAATCCAGCAACTTTTATCACAGAGCACCTTCTCATCAGCTAGAAAGCATCCAGGAGAAACTCATCGGTTTGCCTTTCCTGTCACCCATGATTACTCTTCCAACCCTCTTAGATTCTTAAGGTATTTACAGCCAATTATTTACATCCCTTCTTAGAAAAGATTCACACAAACATCTTAATCTCTGGATATCTTCCAGGGACTTTCAGTTTTATGAAATGCCATTACCACCAGTCACAGTGCTCTAATGGGACCAGCAATCATCCAAACTCGAGGGGTTTGTACTCAAACGTGAAATAAAAAGAGCTCTGACTGTCTGGCTCAAGTGTCCCTGCCCAACAGGAGGTGGACAATTATTCACTTTTGAGGCACACACTGTATGCTCCAAAAAACCAAATACCATTTTATGTACAGATTCATACGAAGGAAGGGCAAAAAAAACCCTCAAAAAATATGACTCAGCACTAGAAATTTCATTCCAGAACAGTAATTTTGGGGGAGATAAACCCACAGAGTCCAACCCTGCTGCAGAATAAATAGGTGTTTACTTTCATTCAGTGAATGAAAGAGTAATCTCAACTATACCACAACAGCATTGACATCACCTAATTACTCACCAAATGCAGGAGCAAAGCTTGCTGACCCAGCCAACATCCTTCTTTCTTCTTGGTGCTCAGTGTCCATATCTCTGCAGCACACAGCAAGGCACAAAGGTGGCACAGCAGCTGTCACAACAGGGGCCACGGGCTCGTGCTTGCAAAATACATCCCAACCTGATTACACGCTTCAGCAGCTATCACTTCTCAAAATTCAATAGAAATTAATTTCTCAACAATGAGGGCAATTAAAAGGTCTGCATACTATAAAGTAATGATACCTGCTGACACACCAGCTATGCCAATAAAGCTGTAAAAAAAGCTGGAACGCAGGGATATTAAAAGGAAGACATCAAACTTCCTTGCTCTGATTATGGGTCTGTTAATACAGTTAATGAAACAGTTACTGGTTTAATACAGTATTAACTCCAGCACAGCTTGTGGTACAGTAAGTTACACATAGCAACTGCATTTTGTCCTCTAATTAAAGGACTTAAAGTGAAGTAAAAATGAAAGCCTTCATTATATTTGTGGTGAAACATCTTTGTTAAAAGGTTCCAAACAATCAATGCAATCAGCAGTTCTGGAGCTTATTGAAGGCCTTGTTTTCACCACTCAATATGAGTTGCTTCAGCCTCCAGCCATGCTTGAAATGTGAGCAAAAAAAAATAATGGTCATCAAAAAAGTATTCTGATGACTCACAGGACCAACTGCACTGTCTGTGAAGCAGCAATTTTCTGAGAGCAAGGTCAGGTAAATAGGGGTTGTCCAAAATACTTCAGGAATGCCATGATGGTGTCTCAATAGAAATGGCATCAGAAGCTTTCCCTTGAGCTAACTTTAACCCAGATTAAAAAGTTGCCCTCTTAGACCTCAGTGGCCAAAATTAGAGAGGAAAAGGAAGAAGTGTTATCAGAACTGGGCTGGGGCACAGCTCCTGGTTGACCATCAGAATGAGCTTCTTTCTGGTTACAAATTCCTTGTGCCCTAATCACACCTATAAAGTAAAATTCCAACTCCAAATCAGCAGTGCCTCTCTACTCTAACTCCTCTGGCAGGTATAATAAACACAGGTACCTGGATTTAAATACAGAGCACACACAGCCATCTCCACAAAAGTGAAGTATTTTCCCTTCCTTGAAAAACCTCCCCAAACTCCTGAGTGCTCATGCCGAACATCTTTTGGTTTTGACATATTTCCTCGGTAGGTGCCTGAAGAAAGCTGCCACTGCAAGATGACAGAAATAAAGGCAGGATGACAAAGTGCCTTTCCTTTCCCCAACAGCTGGCTTCAGCTAATTTTCAGTTATTGAACAAGCTCGCGCAGGTGTGGAGTGTTTGTGGGAAGCTCGGTGGCACGCGGATAAATGCGAACAGCAGCTTCCTGCAGCTCACAATCAGGCACAGGAGCGTCTGTGCCGGCTGCCACCGCGGCCGTCACAACAGAAACCACGGGATGTCATCAGAATTCAGGTGGAGTTCGCATTTCCCTTCCATAATCGCTTTATTAAGCGCTTTTCAAGATATGTGAGCTGCTGCTCTAGCAGCCCACAGCCTGGATTGTCTCTGGCCACACATTCGAGATTTAAATCAGAACAAATGGTATGTCAGATGCAAGTCATGATTTGGGAGGAAATAAACATGTTTAGTCCTTTTCTTGGAGAATTGAATAAGCAAATTGAGGTGGTTTTGCTGAGTTCAAGCAAGCTCCTGGCACAATCTGCCACATTTGATGCCACCACAGCCCAGCTCTTTATTTTTTAGCAGAGTTAGCCCACAAGTAGATAATGGTATTACAGCAGAGGAAGGAAACTCTGTGGTCACAAGTGAGACATGCTCAGACCCAAAGATCACTCTGGGAAGCTTTAGGAAATAGGAGGCTTAAAATCCATACATGTTTTTTGCAAGTAGTTCCTCAAGTTATATAAGAAATCAGGCCACTGATATTTCACCTTCTTGTTGCAAAGGGTCATAAAAAATACAGATTTAAGCTGCAGTCTAGGCTGGAAAACACAGCAGTTGCCCAATACAAAAAAAAAAAACCCAAGAAGACAAAAAATAAAAGCCAAAACTTAAACCCCCAACAATTTCAGTATCTAATCCAGAAAACACAACAGTCTACAGAACTGTTTGGGATGCAACTTCATTTTCACACATGAAAATGAAAGGGTCTCCCTGAAACCAGCCTAAACAGGCAAACACAGATTTCACTTGCTAAAAATGGGTACAATTAAAGAGTCAATCTTTCCCCTGAAGCCAGCCCTAAGTTTACACTGTCTTTAATCTGGCTCAGCTCAAAACTGAAGCAACTTTTTCCATTCTCTAGTACCAACACTCCTTCAAGACATTCCAGCAGGAGAAGTTCTACATCAGGGACAGATCTCTGGTGCCACCCCACCTGGTTTGGGCATGGTGTCCATCCAGCCCCAGGTTCTGCTCAGCCCTGCCCCATTCCTGTCACAAAGTCACTCCCCAAGAGGCAGGAGCCTTTCTGCACCAGGTCCCACTCTGCAAACACACATTTCAGCAATAATTAGGTTTGTTGTAGGTCCTTATGCTTAAGGCTTGTGGCTTTCTTCAGTCTGAGTAAGGCAACACCTCCAGGATCTCAGGCAAGGCTGGAGATCTCAGTCAGCAGGACTTGCCTTCTAATAATATGCAAGGAGACAGTAAAATTTTAAGAAATAGACCTGACATCTGAATAATGCCAGCTGATAGTAATCATTATTCTACTCCAGAAAAATTCCTTCACCATTTAAATACCATGAATACCTCTCTGCCCACAAAGGGCAAGACTCCTTCAGGTGATCAAATTGTGTGAAAAATTAAGAGAACTTCATATAAATTAAGAAGTATGTTGCCATTACAGATCAGAGAGCAGCCCTGGGAGTAGATTTAGCTGCTGGTGAAATCACAGCATTGCTGTGACAATACACTGAACACAATCATTTCCATATTTTGCATTGCAGAACCTACACATGAAATGCTGAAATAATATTTTAACCTGAGTTAAAACAACAGCATTTCCTCTGGTCAGGGAAGGGTTTTTTTTTTTAGGTTCTTTTTTATCAGGTTTTGCCTGCTGCCTCAATGCTCCAGTGTCAAACAAGGTATAAGATTGTTAAAGATTTTTCCCTTTGGTAAAAGAATTTTCTTCTTATGCCCACCTATAACCCTTGCAGGTACTTTATTATTTTTGACACTTCTACTTCTCGCCAACAAAATCTGTACCAGGGTACTGAAGCTGCCCAGCTGGTTGAAAAGTTCCTGGGAAGTGAGTCAGGGAGAGACAAAGGGCACTCAAGCTTTGTCTCAGAACAGGATGAAAAGTTTTTGATGCAACACTGCCTACTCAGAACTGCCACAATACAAAGAAAATAAAACTTAAATTGTTTCTTTTGCAGAGTATGTCTAGATTAGACAATGAACATGAGTTTTAAAATCATTTCCTTTTATCTTCAGTATTTACTGGCCCCATCTGTGTGTGAATTAACTAAAATTCCCTTCCCAAGTCCCACAGTGACCTAAGATATGCCCTAACCTGGGCAAGAGGAGAGCTGAAGCCATTTGGCTTTTATTTTTAATTAAACTTCACTTATTTCCATCATTCATTCTTACCAACAGGATATAGACAAATCCATTTTTCTCTGCCTGTTGCTAAGTTCTGAATAGATGTTTAATTAAAAAAAATCATACAAACTGGCATCGTTCTTGGAGCAGGGGTGAGACAGCAGCAGGTTTTTTACCTGGTTTTTCTAAAGCCAAAAAATCCAACACAAAAATAACCTGAAACAGAGCTGTGCCCACTCCATTTGCAGACACAAACACTTAAATTGCCCCCATGGCCCAGCATTACATACCTGGACATTTTGCACAAACTCAATTAAATGCTCCAGTGCTCTTCAATATTTTCCCACTTGTCAATATAAGGAGATGTGTGCACACAAAAACCTCTGCCTTTTAAGCAGCCTTTTTATCTGCTCCCATTACTTCAGTGGCAGTGCTGTGTTTTGTGACCTAACAGCACAATGCTTCAATAAATGGCAATGATGAGCCACACTCTGTATTTCCATGTTCTGAGGTTTTAAGGTTGGGTTTCATTTGAAATCTTACAGGTTTACCCCCAATCCTGAACTGGGAAAGACCCCTTTGGGGACTTCACATCTGAGTTTTTCCAAGAGGTACACAACACCAAAGTTACAAAATCTCAAATCCAAAATTTAGCTTAGACTGTGGCATGCCAGCCTTTTTCCTTCCTTACCAGAACTAGTTCACAAACACCAAGTGAGATCTGACCTGAGGTCTCTGACATTTCCCTCTCTGCTTTGTGTTTGTTAAAAAACAAATCTCTTGTAACAGGACTTCTTTGGTTTTGCTTTTCTTTTTTTATTTTTTTGTGAATTATTAAGTAAAATCTCTGCTATGGGCCCCCACTGTATGCATCATTCAAACAAAACTATTTGCACAACGCTCAAAACCTCCTTTTTCAGAAATGGGAAACATAAACCAAAAAAGGAACTAGGTCTATACAATGAGATTATTAAGGAAACATTTGTCTTTAAAGCACCTGAATCCCCAGTTTGCTGCTGTTCTGTAACACAAGGCTCATTGCTTTCCCTCTGCCTACCACGCAATAGGCTGTGTGAGTACCACGGGGACTAAAGTAAATTCTTTGTTATGTCTGCACAAAGTAGTAAATGAAGCATGCAGCTCAAACCTCTCCTGCAACAGCCATATCCTCAGTGCTTTTCCTTTTGGTGTGGGAGATTTAATGCTATTTTCTTTTCCATATGCTTCATCTTTCAGCTTTAGCATAAAAAGGAAAGGGAAAATCTAAAGGCTTTGTTTCGCACTAACTGCTCCCTTCAGATTCTGAGACATGTCTTGATGAAAGCTCAGTTGTGATGGAGCAAAATCAAAAGAGGAAGAAATTTCACCCCATGAGATGATACTTAAAAGGGGGAGAAAAAAGACCTTGGAAAAAAAGTTCTTTATTGAGTAATTAGCCATAATCTTAGATAAGACAACAGATCAAACAAGTTCTCTTAAAAGAGTTGTGGGAAAGAGAGAGAGGCTTTTGGCAAGGGTTTACAAATAACACTAAAAAAACTAAAAAGCAGAAACACTGGCAAACTTCTCCACCAAAATTAAAGCTA